TCCTGCTGGAAAGTAGAGATGCTGCTGTGCCCTTCCTTGTTATGGAAGCAGTAACAGAAGATACTTGAGCCATCTGTATCCTCACCTTTTCTGTAATTTGTAATTTTAATAAGGTTGTTCCCCCTATTTATAACAATCTCTTCACAGTCCAAAACTGAAAGGAATATTAGCGGTTTATTCTCCACGCATATTCCAGAGCAAGTGTTCCTAACCATCCTTTATATAGTGATACACCTTCTGTGGCTCCTATTTTAAGAGGTGCTGCTGATGACTAATAAGCCTTTATCATTAGCTGTACTTCTCTTGTGTGCCATAATCCTACCACAGTTTTGTTGTTTTTTTTTTTCTTCTGGAAATATGGCCTGTGTTATATTTTCAAAGTAAATCTATCGGGTAGAAATTCTGTCATGATACATTTTCATTCCATCTCTGAGACAATGCAGCTGGCATCCTTAAAAAAATATTAAAGAAATGACATGAACTTTAGAGTGACACATCATTTGTTTGAACATCTTTCCAGTGCTTCCTATTAGTAGGAGGCTGTGCCTTCAGCATTTAAACCCATGACCTAAACGATGGACACTCACATCAGGCCATTTCACAATTTCATTCAGCTGTCCCCTTCAGGCCAAAATCAGCAATCATACTTTGGCATATGATCTCTACTCTTCTGACACAGAACAGGAACAATTTATTGTGAGTTTATACAGGCCTAGAATATTTTAATCTTACTACTGTGTCAACAGTGTCTTTTTGCTTCTGGTTTCAGTCAAAAAGCCAAATCCACAGCTGAGTTAATTTCTTCTTTGTAAACAAACTGTATTTCTGAGTAGACCTGCTGTGTAAATAATAGACATTAGAATTGCTGTCATGTCCAGAACCTTTTATCAGTAGGTATTTTCCCATTTTAGAAGCTTAAGTAGCCTAAGATATATATTCACTTCCTTGAAAATTAGGACCTTTGTGCTAGTGATGACATTTGTGATTCTACTCATATCCGGTAAACAATAGAGCATATAGGCAAACTCCTTGTAAAAGCAATTTTTTCTTCCCTGAAGTGGTGAGTATTGGGCACAATAAACAAAAAACGCAGCTGATTACTAGGAGACTTGAGTCAGAACTAGACATCTTGAATCTGAACACTGTCTTAAGAGAGTCTTGGAGTGGCCAGCCTGTCGTTGGGCTCTCTGAACTCTCTTGTACTGACTTTAGTCAGTTCTGGGAATTACTCATTTCTGTCTTTGATGGCTTATTCATTCAAAAGATTTAAAAAGTTGTTCTGATTTAAGGAGCCTGGCAATTCACTCATGTTGGCTCATTTATTCTTGTATTTGTGCTTAATATTGGAAAATCAGACACTTTGACTATTCACATTATTTCTTTTGAATTTGTACCTATACCGCATAACTTCCCTTTAGCTTATTTTTAGCAATCTTGACCTTCACATGTTTCACAGTGATAATTGTCTGAGTATGTCTCAGATTTTTCTTTATTTTTAAGCATTTTCCTATCACTCATACTGTCTTTTCAGTCTGATTTCTACAGTTACTAAATAGTGATCTTCCTGCTGTAATAAATACTGGAAACATTAAGTAAGATGAATATAAGCATATACTACAAGACTGCACAGACAGAGCCAGATTTAACAAATAGAACCTACTGAATTATATTTAACTGAACTATGTCGGCAAAAGCAGGTTAACTTATTAGTTTACTTTGTTTTATGGCTGATGGTCAACAGCACGCTGCGTGTGCCACCAAACCATTTTATCTGCTGTTATTCATTCAGAGAATACAGAAATAATGAGCCTTTATTGCTCCAGTTCCTCATAGCAGATTCAACACTTGCAGATTCTTGGATCACTATTATGCATACACCAAATACTGTACTTGGGCTGAGTACCAAGTGGTAGACACTAAGCCAGTTCTCATTTTAAATAACTTTCAGTTTTATTCTATGGAGTTATGCCAATTATATGCCAGTACAGGATTTGGTCCAGAAGATCTGTTCCAAATATTGATCCAACATACGTCAGAATCAAAATAACAGTATTAGTCAAAATAGCAACATTAGATTGAAGAAATAATTTTATAGAACTTGACTCATGGCACCTGATCATGACTTTTGGACACTTTTCTTTCTAAATTCTGTATCTATCAACCCTGCCTTTTTCAGTTTAGCCCTCTGCCTTAGCCTCTAAACTGGAATTTAGGACAAACACTCCAAATTACCAGGAAGTCACAGGTTTTGGATGAGATACTGGCAGCTACAGTGCTGCAAACAACCCTGCTCCAAGCATGGTAAAAATGCTGTGGGTCCAGCTGAAACTGAAAACCAGATACCAGATGTAAAGTACCAAAAGCCAGTCTGGTGACAGAAAAAGAAGAGCTATCTTCACATCCTAGATCCCTGGTCTTTCTGATGCTAAAAGCTAATCAAGAAAAATAACTTTCCATTTTTTATCTTAAAAGATTGTATTCGTTAAACTTTGTGGAGCCATAACTAGAAACAGATTAATCACAATTTTCTAAACAAAACACTGTAGAAGTGAAGAAAATACCTTTTAAGGAAGGTTGTTCTCTTACAATGACATTGCCAACATTGATTTTTTAAACTTATATGTATGTATTAAGCCTGGAGTTCAGCTGCAAGTTTCACTAATTTCTGTGCTGAAAATTTAATAAATATGGAAAGAAACTTTTAAACTGGTTGTCCATAGGAAAAAGAAATATCTGTTAAATCCATGCTACAAACTTATGACCCATGAAAGCCATATGACAAAGGAAGAATTTTAAGTCTAGAAAGGCCATTTGTCAGATAAACAGACAATTGCTATGCAAAATATTAATGCTACAATTTGAATAATTTTTAACTCCTTAAAATTATATTAATTTGTCTTGAATGCTCACAAAAATATCGTCATTCAATTCTAATAGAGATACATCTTCTGGATAACCATACAGAATAAGTAATATCGATTAATACTCAAAAATCTACCCAGGCTGGGTTAAGTAGGGGAAGGACATCAGCTTCTTTAGCCATAAATCTTTATGGGGGTGATGAATAGCAAACGCTAAACGTAAGTTTTTTACACCCAATTTGGTGGGTGGCAACCTTCAGCCCAAGTTGAAAGCAAGACCAGTTCCTGCCTTTTAAGCCTCAAGCACTACGTCCCTACCTTCTCTACTAACAAGCACTAAACCTGGCATATTCTGGTTGGAGAAAATGACCCAGACACAGAGATACCAGAATTATCACTTAGGCCTTGGTACAAGAAATCTGAAATGTGTTACTGATTATAAGCTGTGCTATAACCAGGACAAGGCTATTTGCTCTCCTTAAATATTGTAGGGTTCAGTTTCTGAAGAGGATGAACAGCTAGAACTTTTGATAGGACAATTTGTAGAAATGTAAGAACAAAATACCAGAGGTAGAAAAGGAGCAAAATGTCATTTTCGTGTTAGTTTTGTATACTGGTTAAGCACAGCCCTGATCTTCCATTCTTCTGTAATGAATTTCTGCCTTGTTTGATTTTCTGCCAAGAACTGTCATCTGCTCCTATCCAGTAGTTTCTTATGAAGATTTAAAAACACATTACTTGAATTCTATCTCACTTTTGTATCTATTTTTTTTTACTCAGGTATGAGGAATCCAAGACACAAATAGTATAGTCTGGAGAAAGAACAATGATGTAAACAGCTTTTATCTTAACTGATTTCTAAAGAAACAAATACAGTCACATGAGCACCAAAATAGTAATCTGCACTCAGATATAGTAGTATCTGAGACTTCAACATGAAAAGAAACTGAATCGCTGATGTAAAGGTTCTTTCCCCTCTCAGCCAGTTCAGTAAGAGTTGGCTTAAGACCCAATTCACATCCAAGTAGGACAGAGTTTCACTGACTTTATGTGTGCTTGCATTTAGGGCAAGACGTTTATATTCAGGAAGATGCTTTTCTCTCTGTCACCTCTTTTTTGACTTGAAATGCTAGATTATGTTATTGAGTAACTCAGGAATTATGATTTCCATATAATTTTTCCTCAATGGGATGTCATTTCAAGATATACCTTATTTTAATATCGTTAGCACTATGTTTACCCATATATGACTCCTGAAAATAGAGCGAGACTGTGACTGACTCTTGCCACTTCTTCCCTGGAGCACATCTGGTCTCTGAGGCTCATTAGCGGATCTTGCCAGAAGCCATCAAAAGATAAGTTTCAAATTAATCCTTAGAGTAAAATGCACTGAAAAACTGCCATTCACTTAAAGAATGGTGTGATCTGATCTTTTTCACTTTGACAAGTTGTTAGTGAAGTTTCGTAGTGTTTTTTCCATCCTGATAGTTTTATAAGCATGCAATTGTTTGAAAGCAAAATGTAACTGATTAGAAAAATAACTGAAATCTCCTTTCATTCTAAAATTTAAGGTTCATATTTGTGTTTATTTATTTTTTTTTCTTTTGAGTGGATTGTGTATAGTGCCATGTACAATAACAGAAATGCATGGTGGCACCAGCAGATCAGAAAATAGGTGTGAATGGTAAATAATGCCTTGACTTAGTATTTAGTGAGTATATAAAATGCATGTAGTCTCCTCACTGGAAAGACCAAAGGGATCAAGACCAGGGATACCTGTTAGGAAGGATGGGATTTCCTCTGTTAGCTGTTCTTCTGATATTTTCTCACCAGTGAAACTTTGTGCTCACGTACAACGCATCAGGTTAAATTTTGCTATTATTTATACATACAGTCCCATTGAGGCCTTGTTCCACTCAGCCACACTATTCTGGCTCACTTTGTGTAGGTAAGAAAGCAACCCTGCTTTACTCTGTAAATCGTAAACACCATTGGAAATTGTCAGACTAGAAATGTATAATAAACGTTTATACTCACTTATTCTTTCCCTTGCTGTGGCTGGACTGGATACAGAGGGAGAAAAGTCTGAGTCGAAGAACTGAGTTACAGACTTGAGCAATTCGCAAAGCCTATGCTGGACAATGACACGTGCTGCTGGTGCATTGGTTTGTATTCAAATGAATTGTTCTATTACATAAACACATCTGCGAGGAAACATCAGCTACCTATACAGGTAGCTGAAAAGTAGTATAAGGAAACACAGAACCTGCAAAATCTTTTTAGGAATTTTTCCTTTCATTTTAAAACACCTATAGCTGTTTGAAAAACTTGATCAACCTTGTGGAACTATAAATAGTTATTAAGACTACATAATATAGGATCAAGACTATATAGTTCATACAGACAGAAGAGAACAGATTTTACCTACTAGTCAAGTAAATGCCAGACACCCTGAGCTGTGCTCCCTGCTCTGATCGTAACACAGTCTATGGTCTTCACTTATTTTTCTGTTACCTTACCACCTTTCTTCTTCTGTCAGTAAAAGGGAAGATAATAAATTGCTTATTTACAGTACCTGGCTTATTGGTATGATCGGTTAATGTCTGCAGATTCTGAGGGTTAGAAGCATTATAACTAACAAACATTATTAAGATATTATTTAGGGTAATGTACGCATCAGCCCCAGCCATTACTCTGACACCGGGATAGGAGACATATACTTACTTTGATGTCTAGAATAAATTTAGTGACACAATTCATGGTAATTTTTATCAGGAAACACAGATGTGTTGTGAAACAGACAATGTAACAGATTTAAGGCCTGATCTGAATGCTGCGCAGATGTGAATTCTGGAAGGGATAGGAGATGGCTAACAGAGACAGTTATATTTATTACAGACAAAGCATGATGCTATAAATCAGCTTGTCTTATATATATAGCCTGTTTGGGTCAGAAAACCCAAAAAGGAGCTTCTGAAATAAATTTTCTAATCTCAAATTTCTGGACGTATTTTTTGTAACATATATAAACTTGCTGTGCTTGAAAGTGACTTATGCTAATCCTAGAAGGTACAATTTATATCCTGCAAACCAACGCAGTGCCTATAGCACATCAGCAGATTTCCAGGTTGATGGAAAGGCCCAGGGCTAGAATAAATTATGAAAATAGGGCAAACAAAGTGACACCTACCAAGATCTGCATAGCAGTATGGTGCTACCAGGGTACATCTCTAATAGGCAGGAGAGATTAACAATTTTCATCTGCTTGTTGCCCATCCTCAGAATAACCTGTAAACTGTTCTCTACTGCAGGATTTTCCAGCATCACTGTCTTGAGCTCAGTAACACTTAATGACATGTTGTGCTGCTGGGCAAGGCATATGTGACTGAAAAGTACCTTCTATTGAGAATGAATCCTTCTATCTTACTTCAAAGTCTAAATAAATGAACATCCTATACATGAATTCACTTGGGAAAAACCCCACATAGTTGGTATACTATCTGAGGGTTATCGCACACCTTTGAGGAGCTCTTTATTCTGGAATTTTCCTTCTATTTCTATTGCCCTCCCTCAGTACCTCCCTATCACTTCCTGTTTACACAGCCAGACACATTCCATCTAATTCCCATGAAAGCAAGATCCATATTAGGTATCCAGAAGAAACTCTCAATAAGACTTGAATTCCTTCAGCCTCTAAAAATATGAACTTGTCAAATTTCTAGCTCCACTGGCATTAACTTCCAATTTTGAGAATCTTTCTAAGTTTCATACACTCCTGTGAGGAACAGGAGTTCGTTACTTTCACAAGGCTGAAAGCCTTAGTTAATTCCAATGATCAATTTTAATAGCAAAAAAAGTATTCACAAGGCACTTTCTGCATATTCTGCTGTGTATCATATTTTGGATCTCATTTTCCTCTTTCTAACAATTAAGTGATGAGGTTTCAACAAAACAGATCTTTTATGACAAACAGCTATAACCGACATTTTTAATGAGAATTATTTACTACTGTAGTTCTAATTATGTTGAATCATAGCAGATGTCCAGGATTTTGGACAGCTTCTATCAGCTTCTCACGTGAAGGAGAAACCTGGGATCAAAAATTGGGTTCGATACTCTGAAAGCAATAAAGAACATCTGTGATGCCCACCAGCTTAGCCAAAAATCAATTTCACTTTAAGAAGTTATTCAAAACAGCGCGCTAGCTAGAAAATAAACTTTCTTGTATTGGTCTCTCTATTCCACAGGTCCACTAAAAAAAGGTCACACTTATCTTTCCAAATCCTCGATGTTTGCTTGCACAATGTAAAATAACTCAGACGACTACAACATAGTATAATATTTGGGAACATAATCAGAGGCATCACATTACTGTATTAATAGGAACTGAAGAGGGCCTCTACTTCCAAAATTCATATGGTTTGTGGATGAGAAATAACAGATGCAAATGAAGAACTGATAGGAGGATAAGAGAATGGGTACTGGCCTGTTACCACACACTTCTTCTGACATTCTTCCAGTGTTAGAAAGTTGTTCTCATTGCCATGGCATCCACCATATTCAAATATCTCACACTCACTGCTTTGAATATTGAAGTAATAGCGCACGTGGATTGCTTTGCATGGACCTTCATCTGCTTTCATGGCACAGACTGAATGCCCTAGTTTCACTGGTGGCAAAGCAGCACCTGTAATACAGAGGAGAAGTAGAATGTTATTAGGTTAGTTTGCTTCACTGCACAGCATAACTTCAAAATGAGATTGCTTGCGTCTTCTGCTAGAGAGGAACTGCATAACATCTGGCTGTAAAGCTCTGAACTAAACCGAGATGTAAAAAGAAAATCATCATCTGCACTGGAATGCAAATTCCATTCAGTCAAACCAAATGTGTGGTTTCAATTTTCAACCAAACAGCTCATATTCCTCATCATAAATCTCTAAATAGCTATGGATAGCGGCTTATTCACAGGAGCTAGTGAGCAATTCTGAACAACAAACACATTGAGAAACTCCTGGAAGCTCCCAAAGACACAGTGACTACCCCTGCATAAAAAAGGCAGAAAGAGGGTTCCTTGTGCTCTCTTCCATGCACGTCTAATAGTGAACACAGCTCATAAAGACATCTCACAGCGAACAGGGTGGGACGAACTAAGCAAGACAGCCCTGCAGAGGGCACCATTCCACTATCGGATTCCACCTTCCTGGTACATCAACCCAGCCGGTACAATTGAAAGGTCATCCTACGTCTGTCTTTGATCTCACTGTTCTTGCGTTAGAGCTGTCAAGAGCTAAGAAGTACACAACTAGAAAGTTAAGGTGAAAAGAAACTGTATCTTTTCAAATCGTGTCATTTCTATGTCTTTCAATATACATTATTATGTCAGGGAATGTTTTGTAAAAATTGTCATATATATTGTGAAGAAGAACACTAGCAAAGTTTTACACTGTCAATGTCTATAAGGAAATTCTGACTGACGATCCAGTTTATGATACTGTTCCCTTAACAATATATGGTTTAATATCTTTTCCTGTTTTGCTTTTCCAAGGAACTATTTTACTCTAGAGGGTTCTGAAAGCTTTACAGGGCTTGTGTGCTTGCAATAGCAGCCAGAAGAACAGACCTGAAATTTGTCATTCATTCTCCCAGAGCTAATCAGAACATTGATGACTCTTAACACCTATATGCAAAAGTATCTATCAGTGCTCTTTGCAGTGGCCCAGGAAACAGGAGGAAAAAAAAAAAAAGGATGAGGACTAGAGTTTACATGATCATTGCACAGCTTCCTACTACTAACTAGATTAAATTTCCACTTTTTTAATTAAAAGAACCCAGAAAAATCAGGCTTTATGACATGGTAAAAAGGAAATTGGTATAACTAGTACCTACCTGCTCTGTGGATATCTAATTTTAACATATAAAATTGGCCTTATATAATCTTTAAATGAAATACACAGCTGAGATAAATCCTTATAAATACTGAGGTCAATGGAAGTTTACTAATTTTATTCCATTTGAGCCATTGATAACTATTACTTTAACCTACAGGAAAGAAACAATTTTCAGCAGTAAAATCTTTTAACTCATAGCATTTAAATCCTTGAAAAATTAACAACCTTTATTACACAATTACCACCAACACAAAAAGTGTAGCACACAATCTTCCAAAAATTGACAATTTGGTGTTAAAATACAGATTAAGAGGACTAATTTCAAAATTCTCATTAAATATTCAGTCCCTAAACCAGTTTGTGACTGTTTCCTCATTAGTGAAATTATATTTACAGAAGTTGAAGTTTGGAAAATAGATTTGAAAATACTATTGAAGACTGTCTAAGAGGAAATGTGGATGGATTAAAACATTTTTAAAAGATGTTAGATTCAGTAAACTTCCTATGGAGCTCAGCTTGCCAAACAGATTTCTGAATTTTGTTTCTTGCCAGTTTCCTTATCTGGGTCTTCCCGAGTCCATGAAGAATTAGGATTTTGAAATCACAAGAGATTCCAAGTTGGACCTCAAAGGTCTAAAGTTCTCCAACAGGTTTGGGAATACTTTGGAAGGGACTTAAGGCTCAACTTGAAAAGTTGAGAGGATATTGCACTGCAAAATGAAACTTTGGAATTCCCTCACTCAGTAATAGGGAAAAAATGCCTTCAAAACATCAAAGTTTTCAGTAACTTCTGGAGTAACTCCTGAAATGGTAAAATCAAACATTCAGAGCTCCATAGAAACAGATCCAACTCAGATGCGGTTGGGGTGAGGGCTGGCAGCTGGTTGATAAACATGATGTTTTCCTGGCACACAAGAAATGAGATCTCCTACATGACCTGTGTTAGCAAGCCAGTTCAGTCTAGAAGAGGTTGTGAAAACTTACTAGGTTTCCTAACTACTGGAATTTCAGACATGGGGTTATGTCAGCTCATTTTGCTTGCTACTTTATGCCACACCAAAATTGTGGGCTATCAAAACAGAGATGGTGTGCAAGCATAGTTGCAAAACTACACAAAGATGATGAACAAGTGGCTTAGTAGAGTTTATCTTAGGAACTTTCTGGTCTCAACTCCTAGCCTATTTCCCATCAAACCCACAGAACTAAATCGTTGTTCTCCTTACCGCCTAAGGCCTTTCCTCTGCAGTCATAGTGACACTGTTACCACTGTCAGATGCACTGACATCTGCTGCAAACATAATGGCTATCTGTGTCACGCTTTTTGGCAATGAGATATTTATTTGCCTAGGAGTGCTAGCAAGTTACCGTACTTTGGCTAAAATCTGTACCCTGTGAAACCCTCAGGGGCCAAACCCTCCAACTTTGAACAATAACCAAGTGACTCTGAAGAAAGAAGTCTCAAAGGGATTAATGGGAACTGAATCATTCTTGTGTCTGGGAACAGTGAAAGAATTCTTCCCCATTATTTTACACCTGGGAACACTTAACTCGCGCAGATGATATAAAATTAGCTTTCCTTCTCAGATTAGCACAGCAGATGAGAGGGCAAGTGAGAGTGTTTGGCCAGTAGATCTGCATGGATACAAATCTGCCTGTACTCATTTCACATGTGGAATACACCTTGAGAAAATGAATTCTTAGTATAAGGCCTCCTCCTCTGCTCTTGAACACTGGAACAAATTGTTCCTACTACATTTTAGGTCCTGCATGAAAAGCACAGGATATGACATTTAGGGAAGATTCTGTCAGGAAGGTCAGTGAATATTCTTCAATAGAAACATGGGAAGTTAAAACTGGAAGGAATTTTAATGGAGTTTCTCATTCAAGTTTTGGCATATTTCTAATAGTATAAATACCTTGAGACCTTTTCTGACTGATGTTCAAATTGTTCTTAAAAAACTCCAGTGAAGTAAAATTCCCAGCAACGTGAAGCAGCCAGTTCCAGTATTTCACTACCCTTCTGGCAAGACAGGCCTTTTTTGTAATATGCAGCCTAAATATTCTTTATTACGTATTAAATCATTTTGTACTTCCTTCAATGCATAGACAGAATAATTAAAAACCATCCAGTCTTTCTTTAGGAAGATTTTTGTCTCCTCTTAATTATCCCTACACTAAATAAACTCCCTTCCAAACTTTTTATTGGCCTTGTTTTCTAACCCTCTTACAACTCTCCTTTGGATCTTTTCCTATTGGTCTGTCTTAAAGTGTGCTGCCCAGAGCTGAACATGATCCTCTACCTGAGGCATTACTGGTGCCAAATAGAGTGGAATAATTATCCTTTGTTTTTTTTTTCTTAATACATCACAGAATTACTTGCCTTTTTTAAAAAAAAAAAAACAACATTGCATTATTTTTGTAATGCTCTGCAACTTCCACTTACTTTCCAGCAAATATAACCTTGTTATACAGGTGCATCAACAGTTATTTTCCACCTTATTTTTATGAATGCGTTGGCTCTCCTTCTTAAGCAAGGCGCGTTGCATTTGTCATTTTACAAAGAAAATTAGTTTAATCGTCCACATTGGATCTGGCCCTGTTGGATATTTATTAGTCATCCAATTTAGGCATCTGGTCCAAATAAACTTAGAAAAATCTATATAATTATAGGACTGTACTACCCTAGACCAAGAAAATTGAGTTTGTTTTGGTATAAATACATTAAGTAATGGTTACAGCTGATGCTCAATGTCACACAAAAGTGATTACTTGACATACTAAAACCAAAATAAAGCAAAGCAAAACCTCCTCTCCTCACCTTCTCCCCCCCTCCTCAAATTTTTAATTTAATGACTTTATTACATCAGCTACATAGGTTTTCATAACAGAAGGCACCAAGTGCCCATTGCTCTGTCTTAACAATCTTTCCACTCTTTACCACTTACTTTCTGGTAAGTGCAAAGTAATGCTGATGAAACAGCTCACAATGAGCACGAGTTTAGTGCAGGTGTTTTACATCACTACCTTCTTCCTCCATTCCTTCAGTCTTCCTACTTTTGGCAACTGCCAGGAACAGGATACCGGCCAAGACTGTTCCCACACAGCACAGCCATTCTCACATTTATTGTCATTCACATGGCAACTTTTGCAACTCAAGACATGGCTGTTTAACACACGAACAGCTACTCTCAACTAACATGCAGTAATTTCATTGTGAGAGCTCTAATAATCTGCAGTTAGTCAATGCAAAGCACTGTTATCACTTTACTAGTAAGCAATATAATATTACAAAACCAGAAGTGGTGAATAACGTCTCTAATCCTCTTACATGAATACAAGTAAAACCAGTACTTTTTCCCCTGGCTGTAGGTATAATACAAGACTCTAACTTGACTTTCAGACTCTTAAGGATAATCTGCAGGGCTGGTTGTTAAAAATACATCCTTTTAATTAGAAAGTGAACTGATTTCTGTATTATACCTACAGCACAATAGATGTGAAAGACAACAGTATTATTACACAGTTGCTTTTCAGAACAGAACTATATAAATTAAATTGGGAAAATAAAACTTGGTCAGGAATATTTCTGACTTTTTTGTAAAATACTTTCTGGGTTTTTTTGCTTAGGTTGTGTGTTCTGAACCTTATATGACTTTCTGTGGTTATCCTCAATTATAAAGATACACTGTCATCTTTCCAGGCTTTCTTGTAAATGTCTCTCTTTGATAAGTGATATCAATACTAAGCACCTTGTCACTAATGAATAGCTGTTTCTTCTCCCTCCATCATCGTCACTTTGACAGCTTCCCACCCGCACACTGTTCAGGGCTCTTCCTACCCATGTGTTTCCTACCCCTTCTTTAAGTAGTCACATTTATTCTCAATAAACTTTCACATACGAATAAAAAGGACATTCAACTTATGAGTAATTTTCTTCAGGCTTTGGAACATCAACTAAAGTGCTCCCGACCACGTAAGGTATTACTGAACAATACACATAAACTAGTTGTTCTTATATCTTTTATTTTTGTTATCACCCTTATTTATTGGTGGAAAAATGACAGTTTTTGCCAGAAGAGAACAAACTGAGAATCCTTTTTATCCCGTTGGACTTGACTTGCAACCTTAATTATTACTGTAATTTAAATACTAATAAACTAATAAAAAACCCTCTTAGATTCACAAAGCACTTGTACCCAATGTGATCCAAAAGTATGACATTACGAATAATAGATGCACATAACTTATTGTATCCTTTAATACCTGAAATTTATTGAATTCTAGGGTAAAATATGTCAATGTTTTATAACTATCTAACTCAGAAAATAAATCCTACCAGTGAAATTGCAGCCTACAGAGTTTCTACAGGTAAATTCACTGAGACCAGAATTTCACTCTTAAGAAACCACAAATATAATTTTAATTAGCAACAATGTAAACATTTTATAGAAAAAGGGTATTGCAAAAATATTTTTTGTAAACAAAAAACAGTAGGCACAAAAACAGGGTCCTAGTTTAATTTCTAAGCATCTCATTTGATTTTTTTATTTTTTTTTACTTTGGAATACAAGCCCAAAAGTTGAGAACTGTTCCTCATGCTAAATCAGTTACTTGTTGTATAATCTTAAATGACTGGTTGTAAAATAATCAGTGATAATATAATGCCCAATAAAAAGACTATTTAATTTCCTTGAGATTATTTTCTTATTGTCTTTTATAAACAAAGTAAGTAAATAGAGGAAAAAAATAATCCAGCAGATTTCTTGCTCTGGTGATGAAGTGTGTTAATTTAACAAGCAAGACAGCTTGGCCTTCATAAACTGCAAGCTTAGGGTAAGGATTTTTATAAAACTAAGAGCTGCAGGGTAGAGCAAAGATAAATGGGACCTTGCCCTCAAACAAGAAGGGCATTTATGTACTCCAGGGTTAAAGAGAAACAAAGTTATTCTGTATGAAACAGTCTTGACTACACAACCACGCTAAGCATATGCTTAATGCGGAATGGTGCATCCCTTAGAATTGTAGTGACTAATTGTGACACAGTCCTAAAGCACTAGCTTCGTTTGTAGTACAGCCATGGTTGTGCACAATTAACATTTTTGTCTCAAGGAACACTGCTGCAAAAGACTGATAGAGAGAAATAATCTCAATGGAAATCAGACAAGACATGGGCAGGTTAAGTAGAGTGCCAACATAAAAAAAAAGGTTCCCCTTAGCTGCGTTTTCAGTTAGGCTTCAAAATCAGACCTGTCAAATGGGAGAAGTATCCACTGCACGGTTCTCTGCAGATTAAGAAAGTGATCACAATTCTAAATCATTTTCTCAAAGGAAAGAAGAATATTTTAGTACGGCCCAAAAAGTGTATTTTTGCCTCATCTCCTTTCTCAAAATTGTCTGGGAGGAAATTAAAATATCTTTCACAACGATATCCAGTATAGAAGTTTTATCCACCTTACTTAATGTCAATGAAGTGAAAGTAAACAATGATCTTACAATGGTAAGAATCCGAGAACCTCCCCAGTTCTAACAGTCATACTTCTGACATCATTTTTCTTAACAAAAATCTCTTTCTATCTGGTGAGTTTTTATTTATCCAGCAATATCAAATCACTTGGGGCTATACAAAGAGCTTCTTCAAAGCCCAGAAAAACAACTAGGGCTGTAATTGCATCACCTTTAGACCAAACTTAGCAAATTAACTATGACTCAAGAGAGCTGTGCACAGGACAGAGTAACATCAGTCTATGTGTTATTCATCATGTTTCTGCTCCATTTTCGTGGGGAGACAAAACCTGAGTTTACTGGCTGTATGTTTTTTTTCCCCCTAAACACTGAACTTTTCCATGGGTCCTAAAGCACAGCTTTACGGGAATAATCTTGATATCTAACACAATGTTTGATAAGGATTAGAAGTTCCAAAAAGCATGGGAAACAGAAGCCTTTACAGAAGGCAATTTTGCTAGAGCTTAATGCAAAATTCTGAGCATCTCCCTGTTAGTTAGAAACTAGTGCATTTTTAGCTTAGTTCCACTTTCAAAGTTTCCCAGAAAAATTCTCAAGTACAGAATTACATCTACAGTGCTTTTTAACATAGTGGGTGTTGATATTTGAGATAGTTTTATGTGACATTTTTGTAACCTCTTACCCAGAACTTCCTCTTCTTCGCCGTCATCTAAGTCAGCAGTTGCATGCCCAGTGATACAAACGAACAGCAAGATAAAGGTTAAAGGTAAGGAACATCCCTTCTTTCTTCCCTTCATCTTTCCTGTACAACATATAAATGACAATATACACTTCAATCAAATTCCTTGAGTGCTCTGCAAAAGTCATTAGCAGGGTAGTGCATAGCCATATGGGTACAGACAAACTGGGAGCTTTGGAAAGAATGTGAGTTATGTTAGTATAATTATATTGTAAGCACAATGAAAAACAAGACAAGATTTATAGTTGTGCTCAGCTGATTGCAAGTCTATCGCATCTCCAGTACAGATGAGGCACTGCTATTATGTTTATTTTAAGCCACAATTTAAATCACCCCCCAGAATACATGATATAAAATGTAACACTTTGTACTTTTAATGTCCTGATCAGTTTTACACTACGTATAGTTGGCTGGCATGTCCAATCCTTCCAAATAAGTTTTACCCTGTCTGCAGATCCTAGATTCATTGCCACAAACATAGGATTCTATTTTTAACAAATATTTCATCAATTTATAGTTACCCATCAATTTATAGTGGACTTTTGTGTAAGTTGCATTTCATAGGAGTCAGTGAACTTTTTGCAACATGGGCTTCAACGGTTTAAGAAGTATGTTGTATCTTGTAGATCCCTTTAATATTGAATACCTCGCTTAAGTGCAGAGCTACTATTTTTCACATAGGATCAGTGCAACCATAGGCATTCACACAAAGAAAATACTTTTATTCCATGGCAGCTGGCATGTTCAAGTTGCCAAAGATGAGGTTATGCATGCACATATGGGAGTACCTCTGGAAAACTTTTGCTGTAACTTTTTTAGAAATATATATTGTCCAACTAACTAGAAGTTCCTTAAGGATCTTTTAATTCTAATTAGAGAGTAAGCTCTATATCTCCTTTAGCTACCAACAGCTAGATTCCCTATAGATATCCCCTTTTCTTAAAGTACGATACTAAAATTTGGCAAATTAATATTAACTTAATAGAAATTAAAGATCTAAGGACTAGGAAGTTCCTAGCTTTCAGACAGTGTTTTGTCTTTAATGTTTTTGTTTACATGCCTGTGAAGATAGCATGTCTGCATCACCTAAAACAGTGAGGGCAGGAGGGCCTATGGGAGGAGATGAGATGACCTGTCACTGTGCTTGGGATACAGCTTTATAGTAGGGAGGCTAAAGAGATAATGCTGAAGTGGCAGGTGACATTAATAGAAATCATGTTTAACAGATAAAACTTTTCTCTGAGTGATATATCTTTGTCTATGAAGTTAGAAGTAAATCATAGCTATGGTATCTAGGAAAACACTAGCAAGCAACAATGTCTCAGAAAGGTGAAATTCGCAGAGAGATTACCCAATTTGCCACAGCCGCTCTGAACCGTGCCAGAGCCAGAAGGTGCAGTTGTATCTTCAACACCAAATCAGAGCCAGAGTTTTCATTTCTCTCTTGACAACCTACCAATTTTTCCTTCCTGCATATTCAGCGTTTTCCTAACTTGCAGCATGTGTAGTAAAAAAGAAACGCGTTCTTAAAAATAAGTCTTGGTGAAATTACAGACCAGACCATGAATATCACTAATTACTTGGATAATTTTTTAAATTGACAATTCCCTTTGGAAGGCTTCAGTATATATTGTAGTGAAAAACACTGAGACGTGTCTTCATTCTTTTTTTGTGTGTAAAGGAACAGAATTTTGGGATCAAAGGAATTTCTATGTTAGCCGGAAAATACGACAGTGTTAATTTTTGCATCATAATGCTTTCCTGCCAAAATAAAAAAAAGAATGCATTTGTCTTTCATTCTGTTTAAGCTAAATTTTTAAGTTTAATTTCTACATAGACATATAAAATCCTTTATCCAGATAAAGTTTGGCAAAATAATTCAGATCTCATTTTGTGCTATTAATCATGATTTTTAAACAATCTTTCCTCAAATATTATTTTTTACTTCTATGAACAAATTCAGAAATCATTGTTTTCTACTAGAGATGTAATAACTACTCTTGGAATAGAAACCAGCTTGTTACAAATTCTGAGACATTATGTAAACTGAGAAAACATGCAAGAACTACAATCGCTCATTTTCAGGTATTTTTCAAAGAAACAGAAGTAGTGTCCTTATTCATGTTTCTAACTAGAGCTCGAGTTTTACATTCCTATACTGTTTTACCTATTAAAACTTAATCTATTAAGGTATTATCTTTCCCCTTTCCTCAGTGACAAATTTCTAGTGATCTGTTTGCTCCATTCAGAGTGAATAATCCATAAATAATTTTTCCCCAACCTCTTTACTTGAGGAATTACTTATGGGCCGCTTGGCTGACCACAGGATATCCCTACAATATCGCTAAAACACAGAGGAAAAAATCATGGCACTGTGCTATGGATTTATCAGTTATCAGTTCACTCTAACATGCCAGACGTTTAGACTTAATTACATTCATTAATGCTGTTTACATTTACTTGTGTACCCCATCTGCTCTCATTTGCCTTACTTTTTTTGTCAGTCTGTTTGGAAGTCTCTTATTTATATGTGATAATTGTGAGCTAGTTAATTATTTCCATTTTCTCATGCCATCCTCCTCCCAGCTGTTATCCCAATGTTATCTCATCACTGATTTTTTAAAATATTACACCATTAAAGGAAAGGAAGAGTCTTTCCCGAAATGCTCATTGCTATCCACTGCATACTTTTGAGTTAGAGCACCCAACATTAGCATTAGCATGCTCTCTCTTTGGTATGTTCTCAGCATTTCTTGTCATTATTCAGGTAATTTTCAAATTTTCCAATCAATCAAAGAACAGATATTCCCTCTTCATTTTTTTTTCTGAGTACAGTACACACTATAACTTAAATTGAAAGCAAAGTAACTGTTCCAGACTAAGTGCAATGGCCAACCTTGAAATTACTGTCACAGCTTCAGGAAGTTTTCCCTGAATTTGATCAGCTTCTGTGAAAGTGGATGAAGTTTAATGCCAAAAGATCCACAGAAATAGATCTCTTTATACACTACCTGGCAAAAATAGTCTTAGACTTCAGACGCTAGAAATAAATCACATAGGTAAAAAGCAAAGCTTTTTACATATCAAAATAATACCATGTAAGAGTATAACACAAATCCAAAATAAATCAAGAAAACATCTTAAAAAGAGTTCCATTGACTATATTTCTGCACAAAGTGATTAGAGGTAACAATGTTTCTTTTCAGCTTTCATAGTCCATTCTATGATTGCCAGGAACAGACTACCTCTTATGATGCATTCGGCCTAATACCAGATTTTCTTCCATGCAAAGCTTTGTGGTACATGGCCTTGGAAGAAATTTACTTTTTGATCCAAAGGTTAGAGAAATAGTTACAGCAAATCTTTTTATTCACCCCCAATAAAAAGTCCAGTCATGCTTTAAAAGAGGAACAAAATAACTGTGTACAAGGTAACCTGAAGTTGTCTAAGATTATCTTTATGATTTGAGAGACATCCAAGTTATGATGTTTGTTTGACATTAACTAAAACTAAAATAAATTCACAGCTAAGAAAAATTGTATGGGGAGAAATATTAAGTAAAAAATTTCAAACAACTGCACAAGAATAAGTACTTAGCATTGTAATATAAATAAAGGTGGTGACAGTTTGACATCTAGGCTGAATAAAAGCAGAAATATCATCAAATATTCAGATTTGATACTTAGATATATAGTAATAACAGATCCTAAGCTTTCACACTTTGCCTGGCTGCTGCGAGTTCATGGGAATGAAAAATTACAAAATACACTTTCAAGTTTAGTTTTTGAAATGACATGGGAAAGGGTAATTTTCTAAGTACATTGTTTTCCTTAGAAGTTTTAACTTGTAATCATTGGCACAGTTGTGACCCTTCATAAAGGAACTTGCAAATTATCCCCGACCTCAATTGCCCATGGATTAATTCGAAGTTTACCCCTGGGCTCTCATTTTCTATATTTGAGTTTTTCCAAACATGATGGAAAAACTCTCACTAGTTCAGAAAAATTCTATTTGAATTTGCTTTTGGATCACTCAAGTCGAGGCCTTGGTTCCTTCTTCCAGGATTCTGCAGAGTATAGATTTAGATTGCAAAATCTAGTAATCCATTTTTACTTAGTCATCCAATATTCCCAAAAGCCTGTTCCCAAATAGAAGAAGAATATAGGAAACAATCAGCCAAAAATGGAAATCCTCAATAAGTTTCTATTTTTCACTTGAAGATGACTCTTTAAAAATATAATTTAGCATATCATGAACTACCGTATATAATTGTCACTCTGTGATTATGAGGATAAATTACTGCATTTGTACAGAGAACAAAAATCTTACCAGGGTACAGTGTTTCTATTCTTCCACTCAACTCCTACATTACCCTGAAGAACATATCTTGTGAAAAGTAGGGCTTCCTGATGCTTGGGCAATTTCCCAAGAGGAAAAATTTAGGCTGTATAACTGCGTATCTGCCTTACTGCAAAGTCTACTGACCAAACGTAATCTCCTTTAGCTTCTTGCTAACCTTCCCCCAAGGTCACACATTCCCAGAACACTGTGTCAGGTATGGGTGGAGGTGGGATGAAGGGGGTGAAGGTTTTAGTACTGAAATGCTTAAATCCTCCTGTAGCTTAATTATTTCTTATAATTCCTAAAGGAAGAGTAAGATCCAAGATCAAAGTGACCTTGGCACTGCTTTTTCATTAAAGAATCCAAACCTTGTAGAAAAGTCCAAGTTTTCTGATTTAATCTTCAGCTGCCCAGTAACAGAACTTTAAAGTTGTAAGCCTCTTATGATAGTGATTTTATTTCCTTTTTTTAATGCATTCTGTTTATTTTTTATTGCATTTATATGGAAAGCACAATTCAAAATACTTCATCGATGACATTTGGCTCAGTAAAATATCAAATGCACACATTTGTGAAGGATTGTCTGTCGTGGGAAAGATAGGAAATGTTTTGAGTTTAAATGATTCATGTTAAACGGTTTGATTATTTAGGCCAAATTCTGAAAATCTCTGGGAGTAAATATAGCTCCTTACTCCAGAAGGGTTCTAATTTAGGACAGCCAG